ACAATGAGATATCACCTCACACCTGTCAGAAGGGCTGTCATCAATAAGTCAACAAACAACAAGTGCTAGTAAGGATGTGGAGAAAAGGGAACCCTTGTGTACTGTTGGTGAGAATACAAACTGTTGCAGCCATTGTGGAAAAGGGTATGGAGTTTCCTCAAAAAATTGAAAATGGAACTGACTATATTCCCAGAAGTGATTCCAGGACTGTAAACCGCTAAAAAGCCTTTAGCACTTTAGAAAATGTTGGCATTACCTAATCCAGATAAATATACTGTACAATGCAGTAATTCCACTCTATATATGATAGAGTTTCTTGTACATGTGATTCAGAAATCATGAATAAGTATGTTCATAGCACACTGTACTGCAAAAATCTGGAAAACTCAAATGTTTATCAACAATGGAGTAGATTCATATGAAGGAATACTGTATTCAACATGAATGAATGAAATACCAATACCTGCAAAAATATATAGAAAATAAAGAAAATAAGAAAGCAAACAACACAAATTTAAAATGGGTAAAGATTTGGACGTTTTACTGAAGATATATGGTTGGCAAATAAGCAATTAAAGATGCTCAATATCATTAGTCATTAAGGAAATGCAAATTAAAATTAAAACTACAATAAGATACCAATTTTAAAGGACTAAAATTAAAGTCTGAGCAGACCAAGTGTTGGAAAAAACGTGTAGTAACTGGAACTCTGGTACACGGCTGGTGGGAATATAAAATGTTACAACCACTGCGGAAAGCAGTTTGGCAGTTAAAAAATTATTTTTAAAATATATTTTATTGATTATTACAGTTGTCCCATTTTTTCTCCCCTTTATTCCCCTCTGCCCTTTATTCCCCCGCTCCTTAGTTCATGTCCATGTGTCATACATATAAGTTCTATGACTTCTCCATTTCCTATACTATTCTTAACCTCCCCTGTTTTGTACCTACCATTTATGCATATTACCTGTATCATTTCCCCCATTCTTCCTTCTTCCCCCTTTCTGCTGAAACCCTCCATGTGGTCTCCATTTCTGTGATTCTGTTCCTGTTCTACTTGTTTGCTTAGATTGTTTAGTTTTTTTTTTAGGTTCAGTTGTTGATAGCTGTGTATTTATTGTTATTCTACTGTTCATATTGTTGATCATCTTCTTTTTCTTAGATAAGTCCCTTTAATATTTCATATCATAGGGCTTGGTGATGATGAACTCCTTGAACTTGACCTTATCTGGGAAGTACTTTCTCTGCCCTTCCATGACTTTGAATACTTCTTTCCAGCCCCTTCTTGCCTGTAAGGTTTCTTTTGAGAAATCAGCTGATAGCCTTATGGGAACTCCATTGTAGGTAACTCTGCTTTTCTCTAGCTGCTTTGAAGATTCTCCCCTTATCTTCAATCTTGGGTAATATAATTATGATGTGCCTTGGTGTGTGGTTTCTTGGGACCAACTTCTTTAGGACCCTCTGAGCTTCCTGAACTTTCTGGAAATCTATTTCTTTCACCCTGTTGGGGTTCTCCTTAATTTTTTAAAAAATAAGTTTTCAATTTCTTGCTCTTCCTCTTCTCCTTCTGGCACCCTTATGATTTGAATGTTAGAATGTTTAAAGTTGTCCTGGAAGTTCCTCAGCCTCTCCTCATTTTTCTGAATTCTTGTTTCTTCATTCTGTTCTGGTTGAATAGTTATTTCTTCTTTCTGCTCCAAACCATTGATCTGCATCCTGGTTTCCTTCCCTTCACAGTTGGTTCCCTGTATATTTTTCTTTATTTCACTTTGCATAGCCATCATTTTTTCCTCTATTATACAACCATACTTAACCATTTCTGTGAGCATCCTGATTACCAGTGTTTTGAACTCTGCATCTAATAGCTTTGCTATCTCTTCACTGCATAGTTTTATTTTTGGAGCTTTGATCTGTTCTTTCATTTGGGCCTTATTTCCTTGTCTCAGCACCCTGTTACATTGTAAGGTTCAGAGCCTTAGATACTCGCCAGGGTGGGGTAACCCACCTCCCTACAACCCACCTCCTACGTGGTGCTGCATATGGGGGAAGGGTCAGACAGGAAACAATGCTGCTTGCTCAGCTCTTGGCCAGCTTTCAGTCACTTTCCCCGCTACCCACAAGCAAATTGGGCGCTTCTGGTGCTGACTCCTGGGTGGGTGGGCTTATATACATTGTAGGACCCTGTGGATCTCTCCAGTGAACTCTCCCGTGAGGCTGGGAGTTTCTCCTGCTACTACAACCCCCACAGATTTTTATACCAGAGGTTTTGAGGCTCTATTTCCTGGCGCTGGAACCTTGGGTTGCTTGGTCTGTCTTGATCCCCAGTTGTTCCTCAGAGTTTATCTGCACACAAATGTCGGACCACCTGGTCCTGTACCTGCTGCCTTGCCATGCATCCTCTCCAACCCAGCTGCCCATCTTGGCCCCTCTTACCAGTCTGAATGAATGTTTCTTCTTTAACTCCGTGGTTGTCGGACTTCCGTACAGTTCAACTTTTTGGCAGTTATTTTTTGTTTTTTAATTTTTCTTGTCTTTTTGGTTTTTGAGGAGGCAAAGTGTATCTACCTATGCGTCCATCTTGGCCAGAAGTGGCATATAAAAAATTAAGCATACACCTGTCCTATGATCCAGCCATTCCACTCCCAGATACTTACCCAAGAGAAAAGAAAGCCTAGACCCATACAAAGCCTTACACAAAAATGTTTTCAGGAGCTTTATCTGTAATAGCCCCAAAATGCAAGTAACCTACATGTCCATCAACAGGTGAATGCATAAACAAAGTGTGATATATCCATAATATCAAATACTATTAGGTAAAAAAAAAGGAATAAACATGTAATAACAAGGATAAATTTCAAAATAATTGTACTGAAAGAAGCCACACAAGAACAGTATATATACACTAGGATACAATTTATATAAAACTCTAGAAAATTCAAATTTATCTGTAACAACAGAAAATAAAGCTGGTTACATTGCCCAGAAGGAGGGGGGCAGCATTACAAAAGGGCAAGAGGAACATTTTGGGGTGATGGATACTTATATTATCTTAATTGTGGTTTTGGTTACACACACACACACACACACACACACACACAGAGTCAGCAAGTTAGATACTTTTATATCTGAAGTATATTTTATGTCAACTGGGCCTCAATAAAACTTTTTAAAAACCCCAGCAAAACTACAATTGTTATTTAGAACACAGATGGGTAAATTAAAAAAAGAGCAATAAAGAATTAAGTCAAAATTCAAAATAGTAATTACCTAGAACTGCGGAAAGGGAGGGAGGCACCAGTGGGAGGCACTAGGGACCTTGTCAAATTCTGGTACTCGTAATTTTCTATGTTTGAAACTCAGTTGTGGGTATGTTACTGTCATTCTTTAACTACATATATGTTTTACACCTTTTGTATAGATTATAAATTTCACAACTTAGAAAAAAAGAATCTGTGGAGAGGACCACAAAGGAATGAACCTCTATTTGCTAAACTGCACCTTTAGCATTGCAGGACAGGGTACCCTAAAGACCTTTCAAATGAAATTCAGCTCTTTAATGTCTTCTCTGTGTCCCTGGATTAAAATGGCAAACTCTTCTGTATGAGACAGATGGGTTGTGAATTTCAAACAAGAAGGAATGAAAAGATCAAACAAAAAGGCTATTGTTTACCACCCTAACATGTTATATTTCTGTGCTTATTAAAATGTAAGTAGCTGCCCAGTCCTCTCACAGCAGCCTTGAGATATAGGGACATGTAGTAATTAATATAGAGAGAATGCCTACCAGATGAGAGTAGCTTATCTTCCTTGCATTTTTTCTCTAGAAGATCATAGCTGTTTCTCCCTTTAAAGCATTTATAATTTTATTCCTCACATTTTTTCACTTGGTTGTGGTCTTTATCAACTATTAAAGTACAAGTTATAGTGTGGGAAGTTGGCTGAGGCTGGGTGGAGGTGGGCAAAGAGGGGATGGGGGAATGGGGGACGTTTGTATTAGTGTGAACAACACATTTGTTTTTAAAGCTATAGTAAATAAACTGCTGTTATCTCCTCACTTTGCTTGACTTCACACACAATTTTGCTGGGACTAGGTTTTGGAGATTCACTCCAAAACCGCAGAATAAGCAGGAAACTCTGGGGCTTCCCGTATTAATTTAGGAGCCAATTTCGTTTCATTTGGAAAAGAAAGAGCTATGCTCCAGGTTCGGTTCTTGGATGAGCTATTTCAGATGAACCACAGATGTCTGCAATATCATCAATGATTTTTTTTTAAATCGTCACCCAAGAGCATATTTAGTGATTTTAGAGAAAGGAAAAAACATCAATGTGAGAGAGAAATAGGAAAGAAACATCCACCGATTGCCTCTTCTGTGTGTCCCACCTGGGAAGAACCCTCCACCTAGGTATGTGCCCTACTAGGAATTGAATCGGCAACCCTCTGGGGAAAAGGGATCTCGCTCCAACAAACTGAACCACCTGGCCAAGGGCCATCACTTAATTTTTAATCAAAAGATCTTCAAGGGATGTGGTTGCCTATTTCGCTTGCCACAGCAGCTACATCAAAACATACAATTCGTTGGGATGTCTTGTTTTGTGTTGTGTTTGGCTGCTGGCTTTAGCTATTCCACTCAGCCCATTCTCTCCAATAATCAATGTAGTGCTAAGAGCTTCTTAACCCTAGATCATTAAAGGTTTATATTGCATAGTTTTGTTTTAACCTCCTGAAAACATCCTCCTGGCTACTAACTGAAGCAAGGGTTATATTAACAGATTCTAGAGGTCTTAAGCCTAAATTGCTTTATAGAGCGCTGAATAAGCAAAACCCTTCCAATCACCGTAGAAAACAAAGCCATTTGCCCTGCTCTGGTACCTGGACTGGGTCTTTAATAAACCCGCCTCTGCTTTGTCGCTGTCCCGGACGGCGCGCACTTCCGGCCGCAGAGGCGCTCGGGAAAGTGCTTCTCGAGCCTCCACCAACCAGCGGCTCCGTTGGACCAGTGCGTGTGCGTCAGCTCACGTTTGTGCGCGGGTTCGAATCTCCGCCGCTTCGCGGTTACTCTCCAACGTCCGGTAGCACCCTCGGCGGCGAAGGCTGTGCCCACCGGCTGTAGGCAGCCCAGTTGCCACCCCACTCCGGGTTTCCTGCCCACCTTCCTGCCTCGGCCTCGCCCCAACTAAGTGCTCTCCTTCTCGCGCGCCCTGACCCCGCCCTCCACAGCTATCTGCGCTCGGCCTCCCGTCCTGGGCGGCTTCCGCCCGAGCCTCCCAGGCCCATGGCCAAGCGGCGTGCGGCCGAGCCGCTAACGTTCCACGTGCCTTGGAAGCGGCCCCTAGTCTGCAACTTTCCGGAGGAGCCGCCGCCGCTCTGGATCCCACGGGCGGCGGAATCGCATCCCGGGCAGCACCTCGGCGTCCCGGAGCTGCCCCGAAAGCGCAAAATCGACGCTGGGGCTATGACTGAGCCTTCGGGTTCGCCCAGCAAGCGCCACGATTGTGGGGAGACCAACGCTCGGGACAGCGTGGAGCGTGAGGGCAGTGGCTTGGAGACCGGCGAGCCCTCGCTGCTGCAGCAGCCGCCCCTGCGGCCCAACGGGCCGGGGGAGGAGCCCGGGGGCGCCCGGCCCCCGAGGGGCGGTGGCGACGACGGGGCGGGGCGCGCAGAGTCCCCGCGGGGAGACTGGGGGGCCTCGTCGCGCCAGGTAGGGGCTGGGGGCTGGCTGGGCAGCTCCAGGGGTGGGTGGGTGGTGGGTGGGGTCACCATTTTCCCAGGTACTTTGAGCACCGGGAAGGACCTGATCCTCCCCTTCTAGACTCATATTCATCAAGATGCCCTAAAAGGGGAAAAGCTGGGGTCACTGCTTCAGGAACGGACACTTACCTCCAAGCAACACAGCCGGGGCCTCAGGGCCAACCCTTGGCAGCGTTTGGAGAGTCCGATGGACTGAAAGCACTTCGATAAACCAGGGAAACAGGCCTCGGGTGAGGTAGCCCTGTCCTTGCAGCTTCCGTGCCTATGTTAGTGAGAGGGAAGTAGGAGCAGGGCACCTCAGGCTAGACTTGTAAGTTTGGTGGAGGTGGTGACTGAGTTGCTAGAGGTTCAAGCCAACGACTGACGTCAGGGAATGGTGTATTGTGCTTTCCTTGGTTTAACAATGATTTGTTTCTAGAATTCGTGATTTCTTTCTAAAGAGGTGACCAGTGTGTGGTAGCCATCCACTGGATGTCCGTTATGCATGGCACTTTTTTTTTGAGGGGGGGGGGGAGAGAAAGGGCTTCTACATCTTGGGAAAGGGCATTTTATCAATAACAGTGTTAAATGTGACCCTTCGAAAAAGAACTGTTGAAAATTAACTTGGGCGTAAGGTGTACAAGGATCTTTGGAGAGTTCCGATTACTTGGTAAATGAGCCTGTCCTATCTCTGTGCATCAAATATGATTTGTCTAGATCTGTGCTGTTCCGTATGGTAACCACTAGCCATGTGAGACAACTGAACACTTGAAATGAGATGTGCTGAAAGTGTAAATACAACTAGATTTTGAAGATGTCAAAACTTTATATTGATTACACGTTGAAATAACTTAGATAATGGATTGAATACAATAGGTTAAAATTCATTTTACCTACTTTTAGTTTGGGGGCGTTTTTTTAAAATATGAGAATTTAAAAGTTATGTTTGTGGCTGGCATTATGTATTTATTGGACAACTTTGGTCTAGACTTAGGAATTCAAATTGCCTTTTGGCAGTTCTCTGTTGACAGGGAGCTTTGGGGTCAAAGAACCAAATGTAGGCCTCAGGACTCACCAAACTCTTCAACCATTACATCGTAGCCTCTCCCTCACCCCTCTCCATTGCCTTGAGCATTTTATGCAGAATTTATTAAATACTTTGCCCCCCCCCCAAAGAATTCGGGTTCCTTTGGCATGACTTGTTCTTGGTGAAAAATCCAGTAAAATAATGAGAATTTTATAGTTAGTAAAGATCTTTTCCACTGATTATGAAATTATCCTTTAGACCAGGGGTGTCACACTCATTTTCACCAGGGGCCACATCAGCCTTGGGGTTGCCTTCAATGGGCCGAATGTAATTTCAACTCCTTGACAATTAAGGAGTAGTTACATTTATACAGCCCTAAAATTATTTCAACCCTTTGAAGGCAACTGTGAGGCTGAGGTGGCCCCCCTTAAAAATGAGTTTGACACCCCTCCTATAGACATAATCATGATAAGTGTTTCTGAATGAAATTGTAAATATTTTTATGCCCATTTTTCTTGGAATTTAGGAAACATAAGCCATATTTAGACTTTTTTCTTCATACTGCTTTCAGATTCAAAATTAGCTTGCTTAAAGTCTAGTGATAGCACTTACATTTTGGAAATAGAATAAAGAATTAGAATTTCCAATTAAATTATGCCTCTGCCAATATGAAAAACCTAAAAAAGGTAGGAACCCAGACCAACTGGAAAACTTGCCTCTTCAGACCCCACCCATACATAGTCTTGTCTTTCCTTCCAGAATGTACTGAGTATGGTGTGCCACAGATTGATAAGATGGAAACGTGGGAATGGCAGGGAGGCAGAGGAGAGTGTTTTTAGTGAACTGGCACAGATGCCTGGTTAGGATCTCCGAGACACATTCGTGTCTTCCTCCACAGCAGGACTACATCTGGCAGTTCTCTGTATCCTGTTGTCACTAGGCTCCTGGCAGGAAACAAGAAGGGTTCCTTCACCGAGACCAGGTTCCCTGTTCATCAACCCACCCCTGCACCCCCTCTCTCCGGCAAAAGCCCCAGAACCCTCATGTTCCTTCCTTTTGTTCTGTTCCTTGAGCTGCTTCTCTTCTGCATACTTACCAGAAGAATGCATTTGCTCTACCTTCCTCCTTTCCTGCTTCCAAAGATGCGCAGTTTTTGTTTTAAGGATTTCACAAATAATTACCAAAGGAAAACAGGCTAAACAAAAACACGAAGAAGTTAAAAAGCTTTTTCATTTTGTGCAGTAAATGTTTGTCTCCCTGGTTCTTGTGCTTAGAATAAGGCTTAGGTCTGCCCTCACTTTTGAGATCTCATTTAGGAAAAATTTTCTCAAATATGTTCTTTTTATATTGGGGATGTAGTATAGGCAGAATCTCAGAGTATTTTGAGTTGTTTAAGATTTTTTTTTACTAGAGAACTAAAAACCAGGTATTCATTAAATATTAATCTTTTTTCATGTTAGTGTCACTTTGTACAAATTTGTTGCTTTGTCAATGCTGAGCCTTACTGTTTAAAACAGTTTTAACAGAAAATGAGCAAAAATGTCGTTTCCTGGAAGTGAGTGATTAATGATTCAAAGGCTTCTTGGGATGTAATAACCTAGCAATATTGAGCAATTACAGTGCCAAACCTTAATTCTTAATAGAGCCATATGTTGTACTGATTAGGAAACACTTAGGTCAAGACCAGACTTAGTGGGTAGTGCAAATCCTGGTCTGTCTGGTGGCCAGTTTGTGCTCTTAGCTACTAGGTTACACTGACATCATTAAAGGATCCCTTTTTTGGCCATGTTTATAAGTAGGGAATACCGACAATAGATTTTGTGCAACAGGCGAAGAAATAGATCCTTGCTTTTAACCCCGTTTGCTTAAAATGAACATTTTCTTGGCATCCATTAAATTACTACATTTTCATCCCAGTGTTAAGAAATTTCATAGAGATTCTTAATTCTCTAAGACCCATGGGTGTCCAATCTTTTGGTGTCTCTGGGCCACATATTAAATAAACAAAAAATGATGAAGTAAAGAAAAGGTTTTAAATACCATAAATATATGATTTTGTGTTGGGCCACATTCATAGCCATCCTGGGCTGCATGCCACCTGTGGGCCACAGGTTGGACACCCCTGCCAGCCTTAGTGTCTAAGGCACTGAATGACCTTCTTAATGAGATTTTCCTGTAGACCTGTGCTTTTCAGGAAAGTAGCCAGCCACAATCAGCTATTCATTGGAAGGTGGCTAGTATAAATAGTACTAGAAGTGTAAAGTACTTGCTGAATTTTGAAAACTTAGAATGATAAAAAGAATGTAAACTATGTCATTAATTTAAAAAAAGGTTGGCTGCATGTTGAAATTGTAATAGTTTGGATATATTAGATCAAATAAAATATTAATTCACCTGACCTCCGGGCAGCCTGGGCCTCCCTGCCAGGAGCCTTGAAAGAAGAAGGGACTTGGTGCACCTCTTGTGCTGAAGAGGCTGAAGATGAGCTCACACCTCAGGAGCCCACACCTGGTGTCACCTGGCTGACCCCCAGGTGGTCCCAGCAGTGTGGTCTCATGTACACCTCCTGGCCCTACTTCCCAGGACTCACAAACACCATGAACAGTTTATGACAAAGAATCTTATTGGCATCCTGTCCTTAGAAACTCATTCTGTTCTTGAAGCCTGGTCAGCTGCCTGCATGGTGCAGAGGTGCCACCAGCTCAATTTTGCCACCCTCATAGTTTTGCCAGTCACCTTGGCACTAGTTGAACTGTCTCTAGAACATTGCCTCTCCATTCCACTTATTTTCCCAAACTTGTCACTTTATACTAGCTACATGCAAATACATGTTAAGACACACCAAAATGGGACACGTCCAGTGAGTGCCTTTCAGAGGCTAAAGAGGAGGAGGAGGATAATTTTGAGTCTTCCGACTTTTGGACTTGCCTTTGGGCCCCTGGCCCATAGCTGGGCCTCCACTGCCTGTCACAAGCACTTTTCCATGATGTCCTGAGAGAAGTCAGTGGAGCAACTGAAGGAGGATCAGGAAGTTAGGGCAAGACCACAGTAATGCTTCCAGGGTGCCAAGGGGAAAGCAGGGCAGTGATTTCATGCAGTGAGTGTTTCTCTTGATTAAATTAAATGCAGTATATGGTTTGGCGCATAGGTGCCTATTTTTTCACTAAATTATTTCTAAAGCATAATGTATCAAGAGCAATAAAGCATTAAATCTTATTTTTTACAAAGCTTACCATAATTAATATGAGAAAGGTATGTACTGTATTTTGCCATGTATAATGCATACTTTTTTGCCCTCATTTTGAGGAGAAAATAAGGATGTGCATTATACATGGGCAGTACTAATTACGTGTCTATATAAATATTTTAATTCTTTTACTTACGCTTATGTGTTAAAAGTGTAACTCTAGAAAGCAATAACGGTATCCATTGCAGAATAATACCCTGGAATACGGTGATTGGTTTTGTTTCTAAGTAATAAAAAATTGAATTTAAAAAATTGAATTTTCAAAGTTTGGGCCAAAAACATTGGTGTACATTATACATGGGAGCATATTATGCACAGCAAAATATGGGAATAGTGAGTACAGTTATGTAATAGGCTGGATGGAAAATGTTTTAGGTGTTGTGGACCACATACAGTCTCAACTACATATTCTATCCCCAACCTTTTATTTTATTTTTTTTATTAAATTTATTTATTTTTTTGAATTGATTATGCTGTTACAGTTGTTCTATTCCCCCCTCCATTCCCCTCCACCCTGCCCCCCCAACCCCACCATTACCCCCCTTTAGTTTATGTCCATGTGTCTCAAGTCCTTTAGGTTCTATATTTCCCAAACTATTCTCGCCCCCCCATCTATTTTCTATCTACTGTCTATGCTACTTGTTTTCTGTACCTTCTCCCCCCATCTCCTCCTCCCACTCCCCTGTTGCTAACCCTCCTTGAGATCTTCATTTCTATGTTTCCACTCCTGCTCTAGCTGTCCTTTTAGTTTGCTTTCGTTTTAGGTGTGGTTGTTAATAACTGTGAGTTTGTTGTCCTTTCACTGTTCATGTTTCTTTAACTTCTTTTTCTTAGATAAGTCCCTTTAACATTTCATATAATAAGGGCTTTGTGATGATGAACTCCTTGAATTTGGTCTTATCTGAGAAGCACCTTATCTGTCCTTCCGTTCTAAATGAAAGTTTTGCTGGGTACAGCAATCTTGGTTGTAGGTCTTTAGATTTCATGACTTGGAATATTTCTTTCCAGCCCCTTCTTGCCTGTAAGGTCTCTTTTGAGAAATCTGCTGACAGCCTGATGGGGACTCCTTTGTAGGTGATTGTCCCCTTAGCTCTTGCTGCTTCCAGGATTCTTTCCTTCATTTTAATTTTGGCTAATGTAATTATGATATGCCTCGGTGTGTTTCTTCTTGAGTCCAACTTTTTTGGTACTCTCTGGGCTTCTTGGATTTCTTGGAAGTCTATTTCCTTTGCCAGATTGGGGAAATTTTCTTTTATTATTTGTTCAAATAGTTTTTCCACTGGTGGTTGTGTCTTTCCCCCTTCTGGTACCCCTATAATTCGGATATTGGAGCGTTTAAAGATGTCCTGGAGGTTCCTAAGACTCTCCTCATTTCTTTGAATTCTTGCTCCTTGACTCTTTTCTGTTTGTCCATTATTTGCTTTCTTCTGGTCCACTGCATTGATTTGAGTCCCAGTTTCCTTTTCATCTCTATGGGATTCCTGTGGAATTCCATTCATTTCCCTTAATTTAGCCTCCATATGTTTCTCTAATTTGTGGCTGTAATCCACCAGATCTGTGAGGAAGGTGATGACCAGTGTTTTAAACTGTGCGTCTGAGAGTTTTGCTATTTCTTCGTCATTTAGATTTATCTCTGGGGCTTTGAGTTCTGTCTGCGACATTTTTGGTCTGTTCTGGCCCTTTAAGTGGGAGGAGCGGTGCCTTGGACTCCCAGGTCGCTGGGTTGTGACGCTGTATGTGGGGGCGTGGTCAGAGCGGGGAAATGGCGGCCGCCGTCTATCGCCGCCGGTCCAACCGCTCACTCCCTCACTCGCGCGCAACCAGGCAACCACAGTCAACTCGCTGCCACCACCTCCCCACTGTGTCGCTCCCCCGGTGGGCTGCTCGGTGGCTCACTAGGTCCAATCCTGGGTTTGGAACCCGCGCGACTGTGCGCCCGGTCCGACCGAGCCCTCCTTTGTAAGTCCTCACCCGACGCCGGTTTCGGTCGGGCTGAAGAATTTGTTGTTAGCAGACTTCCGAAAAGTTCAGTTTTCCGTGTTCTGGTTGTGTTTTCTGATGCTAATATTTAGTTGTCCCTAAACTCGGTTGTGTGGGGAGGCAGGCACATCCAGCTAAACCTCCATCTTGGCGGAAGTCTATCCCCAACCTTTTAAAATGTGAACAACATTCTTAGCTGCTGGGCCATACACAAAAGACGCCGAAGGCCAGACTTCACCTCTGGGCTCCAGTTTGCCAAAGCCATACGTGACCTGTTTCTCTTTCCTTTTTTACTGTAGATACTACAAAATTTTAAATTACATATGTGGCTTCCATTATCTTTGTCGGATAATGCTGCCTTAGCAAGGATGAACCTAGCAGAAGAACATACCACAGTAGAACAGATACAGCTGTGTATACGGCTACCCATCTGGGACGGGTAATGGTCACCTTGGGGGCCTGTACGTGATGATTCCAGTGCTGCTTTTGCACAAAGTATTTTTAATGCTTTTGAATCTCTGTGCCAATTTTATACTTTATTGGAACATCAACATCACTCCATAGTTACTTAAAACAATTTTATAGCCATTCAGAGTAAGTTGTTAAATTTTTAAAAGGCCAGTGCTCACTTGAATTTTATCAATTTTGCTATGCTGATTTAAAAGTCATGCCTTGTACCAAATGGTATCTTCATAAAAATGGTAAGTTTGTTTTGCTATTTATCATGTTTATATCCTAATACTTTTTAGAAAATTGTCAAAGTATTTTAACCTATGTGAATCAATTCCTTAAAATACCAAACCTCAGAAAAAAGACAAAAAAAATGTTTTAAAGTTTGTTGTATTTTTTCAATAAAAAATGTTACCCTCACTGAAAGACAAACATTTCAAGACACTTTCTTTGGTTAAAAATGGAAAATTATCAGAAGTAATATTGTTGAAAGAAATGCATTTGTCCTGGCTGGGTGGTCCAGTGGCTGGAACATCATCCCATACGCCAAATGGTTGTGGGTTCAATTCTCAGAGAGGCACATACCTAGGCTGTGGGTTCGATCCCTGGTCGGGGAATGTAGGGGAGGCAACTAATCTGTGTTTCTCTTTCATATCAATGGGGGTTTTTTTTTTGTCCCTTCCTCAAATGAATAAACATATGCTAGGGTGAGGATTTAAAAGAATTTCTTCTAAGAATTAAAAAAGTATTGATTTTTATAGAGAGAGAAACATCAATTTATTTTTCCACTTACTTATGTATTTATTGGTTGATTCTTGTATGTGCCCTCACTGGGGGGTCAAACCTGCAACTTTGGCTTATCAGGATGATGCTACCTGGCCAAGGCCTTGAAAGAAAATTTTTAAATTTAAACTACTAACAAGAAATACTTTCACAAATCTATGAATATGATAATGCACAGATTTCACTGAGCCCATGAACTACTTTGATTAGACAGAATTAAAAATGTATATTTGTTGAAGATAAAAGTAAAAAGGTGTGAGTTTTCTTTTAAAACAAGCAAACTTTACTGAAAAAAAAAAACCCACTTTCTAAAGATTGATGTACTTTTATTTCTCTTTATTCCCTAAAGCTCAATGAAGAATTCTGGCAGTATAACACCTTCCAGTACTGGAGGAATCCTTTACCACCGATTGATCTGGCAGACATCGAAGATGTAAATGCAGACAACCTTACAGGAGCAAGGCTGCAGGACAAGGATGAAGTGGTTGAAATTGACATGGAGTCCTGACGGAGGAGCTGCAGAAATAGGCTTTTCTGAATTTGAGAAGACATCTCTAAATTAATTTATGTATTCCCAAGGAAAAAAGTTATTTTCCATACTTTATGTGATTTCTTCCCAAACCTGAAAAATGAGGAAAGATTGTTTTAAAGATCGATGCCTGCAGTCACCATGGAATCTCTCAATAGGATTTGTCAGTGGTATAGTGCATTTACAGGGGAAGTGTTTTATGTATGCGTTCTTAAAGAAAAATGTGTGCTTAGATTCTAAATTTGAAGATGCCAACCTTATAAAAAGGAATTCTAACAGTTTTAGAAATAGGTAAAAACATTCAGTCCTCTCTGCAACAAATTGTCAATTTGTGGTACATGAAATGAATGTTGTTTTATAAAAACAAAATGATATTTAATATACTTTATTGACTCTTCTGAGTTGAACAACTAGCTGACAAACATCTATGCAAACTTAAACTGTGGGGAATTCTTTCTGAAAGCTGGTATTACAGAACTTTCTAAAAAAGTAAAAATTAAAAGCTTTCTAAATGTAAAGTGAGGATTTTAATGTGGGTACAATTTTGGGCTATCAAAAATGGATAAACAACAATGAGAAATGAGTAGGTGCTTTCCCTCTTAGATGAGAGGAGAGAAGTTTATTGTATTTCTTTTTAAAAACTTTTTTTTTTGGTTCTGAATTGCCTTGAGGATGTGGTTTTTATTACTTATTACTGTAGACTGGTAGTTCTCAACACTGGCAACACCTCACAGATCTTTGCCTGGACCCTTTCTCATTTAATTGTTCTAATGTGGACCTTAAATAGAGCTATTTCTGTAAGCACCAACCATCCTCTCCGCCCACGCCCTTCCCATTTCCCTAATGTGCAGACAGGTTTGAGGACCACTAGACTAATGGTAGTTTTTCCTATTTAAAGGAGATAACTGATTTGGACTGAAACAATGCCTATTAGTTAGCTTTGTTTTTATTTTACCCTGTTGATGGCTTTGTTACAACTAAATTATTGCATAGTTATTATTTCATTGTTAAATAAAGTAAGCAGTTTGTGTTGAGTTATATGAGTATCAATGATTAAGTTAATTGTTTCTAGAATGTTGGCTTTGTAATTGATTAACTTGTGTATTTTTTGTTGTTAATGATATTAGATTCAAAATTCAGGAAGTGTGATAAATGCCAATGAGGGGAAAGAATGCTTTGTATGTACTATAGGATTTAAACATGGGTTGACAATAAGAGTATTCTAGAACAGAAGGCAAACTGCATAGTATTGTGGTTAAGAGTTAAGGCTTTGGAGTTAGATGTGGTTCAAAGTCTTGTACTGCCACTTTCTACCTGTGTGACATTATCTCCAAGTCCCAGATTCCTCTGTTGTAAAATAAGAAACAATAAATAGTATCTACCTCAGAGAGTCTTTGTTTTTTTGTCAAATAATATACTTACTAAGTACTTTACCTGCATCATCTTGTTTGTCTCATAATACGCTTATTGTAGGTACAAAAATAATTAGAATACATGTATTCCCTGTAGGTGCTCTTTATTCTCCTTTAAGTTACTACTAGATATTTCAGGATAAAGATTGGAGTTGAAGAAATAGCAAGGGTAGCAAACAAGTGGTGGAAGCTATTAAAGTACTGTGGAAAAAAATAAAATGGAAAACCTTCACCCTCCCACCCCCCACTGTTCCGTTTGACCTGAGGGTAGAAAAGTGTCCATTTTTGCTCACTGCTGTTTGTGGTTCCCACAACAGTGCCTGCCACAGCATAGATAGTCAATAAATATTAAGAAATGAATGAGCATTCTTATCTAGGTCATTTTTTCAAAAGATGAGTATACCGAAGTTCTGTTGCAGAACTCAAATAGAAAAAAATTGGAAATTTATTATATATTATAAATTTATTATAAAAAGATTGCTAAATTATAAAGACAAGTCAACCACATGAACAGTAGGAGGTGGTTATTTATATGCTCTCACAGGAAGTCTCATAGGACATTGTAGAGTGACAGATTCAGAAAAGTAGCTCAAATTTTTCAATCCTTCTATGTCAACATTAAACCAAAAGGTAAAATCCAGGGCATGTTAACATGTTAGAGGTTTTATATTTTTTTTGTTTTTGTTTTCTTTTTTCTTTTTTTTTTTATTGATTATGCCATTACATTTGTTCTATTCCCCCCCTCCACCATGCATGCCCCTCCCCCACCATTTCCCCCTTTAGTTCATGGACATGTGTCTCAAATTCTTTAGATTCTGTATTTCCCCTACTAATCTTACCCTCCCCCTATCTATTTTCTATCTACTGTCTATGCTACTTATTTTCTGTACCTTCTCCCCCCTTCTCCTCCTCCCACTCCCCTGTTGCTAACCCTCCATGAGATCTTCATTTCTATGGTTCTGCTCCTGATCTAGCTGTCCTCTTAGTTTGCTTTTGTTTTAGGTGTGGTTGTTAGTAACTGTGAGTTTGCTGTCCTTTCACTGTTCATCTTTTTTATCTTCTTTTTCTTAGGTAAGTCCCTTTAACATTTCATATAAGGGCTTGGTGCTGATGAACTCCTTGAATTTGGTCTTATCTAAGAAGCACTTTATCTGTCCTTCCATTCTAAATGAAAACTTTGCTGGGTAGAGCAATCTTGGTTGTAGGTCTTTGGATTTCATGACTTGGAATACCTCTTTCCAGCCCCTTCTTGCCTGTAAGGTCTCTTTTGAGAAATCAGCTGACAGTCTGATGGGAACTCCTTTGTAGGGGACTGTCCCCTTATCTCTTGCTGCTTCTAGGATTCTCTCCTTCATTTTAATCTTGGCTAATGTAATGATGATGTGCCTTGGTGTGTTCCTTCTTAGGTCCAACTTCTTTGGGACTCTGAGCTTCCTGGATTTCCTGGAAGTCTATTTCCTTTGCCAGTTTGGGGAAATTTTCCTTTATTATTTGTTCAAATAAGTTTTCCACTGGTGGCTGTGCCTTTCCCCCTTCTGGTACCCCTATAATTTGGATGTTGGAACGTTTAAAGATGTCCTGGAGGTTCCTAAGCTTTTCCTCATTTTTATGAATTCTTATTTCTTCATTCTTTTCTGTTTGATCATTTTTTCCTTCCTTGTGGTCCACTCCCTTGATTTGAGTCCCAATTTTCTTTCCATTACTATTGGTTTCCTTTGTATTACCATTCATTTCAATTAGTTTAGCTTCCATATGTTTCTCTAATTTGTGACTAAAATCAACCAGTTCTGTAAGGATCCTGATAACCAGTGTTTTGAACTGTGCATCTGAAAGACTGGCTATTTCTTCATCGCTTAGATCTATGGGTTCTGGGGCTCTGAATTGTCCTAGAGCCATTTTTGGTCTCTTCGTGCTGTTAAGTAATCGTAATCGGAGCGAAGCCTTAGTTGTTTACCAGGACTGGGCGACCCAGGTCGCTGGTTTGTGACGCTATATGTGGGGGCGTGGTCAGAGAGGGAGCAATGGCGGTCCTCTCCACTAGCCCAGCCCGTCCAGTCACACTACTCGCCCTGGGCTTGTTTATCCGATTGGAATTGTGCGAGCCTGCTGCCCCGCGCAGGCTTCCCTTCTCACTGGTTTCTCCGCCCGCAGATGCGCGCGACCGACCGAGACAGCCCCCGGCGCCTCTTCCTTGTGCGCTCCGGTAGCCAGCCCGTGATCAGCGCCGAGCACCACCTGTTCGGGGATTTTTTCTTGCCAACCTGCTCCGCTGCTGGTTTCCCTTCTCTTACCGGTTTAGCTGAGTATTTAGTTGTCTTTGGACTCTGTATTTTCGATTTTCCGTGTGGCTTGGTTGTGATTGTTGTGAAAAAAGTTGTTCTTAGATTTGGTTGTGCACAGAGGCAAGGTGGTTCCTCCACCTACGTCTCCATCTTGGCGGAACTTGGTCATTTTCTTTTTTCTTGGGTGTGCCCAATGGCTTCCTTCATGCACCCTCAGAGTGAAGAAAAGGAAATGCTGGTTTAGGTTCTGAAATGCAGCTTGTTTTCAGAGATATTTTAGAAATGCAGCAAACACACACACAGCCTCATCCACAGCCTCTCTCCCCATACCCCAGTCCCTCTCTCCTCTACACAACTCCCTGAACAGCATTCCGCCCTCCCTGGCCTTTGAGAAGATAGAACACCGGCACTCAAATACCTGGCCAATCACATACAGGTGCTGTTTTCCAGGGTTCTGAGTACTGGTGCTCTGTTAGCTGCCTTTAATCCTGAGAGTGAACACTCAGCTCAGGCCAGGGAGTCATGTTTTTCAACCACCATAGTGCGGAGTATATTAGTCGTACGTTCTGACTCTGGGAGCAGAGGTCAGGTAGTCTTTGGTCCGGCAGCGTTGGCAGCGCCGCAGCGGAAGCGAGGTTTTATATTTTTAAAGTACATATATTTTACAAGAATGGTGTATTCGTACCCACGTGTGTGTGTGTGTGTGTGTGTGTGTGTGTGTGTGTGTGTAGAGAGAGATTAAGATTTGAAATAATTACATTCTTTAAATAAGTAAACCAGGTAATTTGGCAAAATTGTGGTTAACTGAAATGGAAATTTGAAAGTAGGGTTTTTCTTTGTTAAAAGTTGTATACTCTTTACCCAGAGTCCTTAACAACATCTTGCCACAATATGATTATAAAATGAAATTAACAGTAATACAATGCTGTCAATTTGACAGAAAGAATGACTTCACACAAATAAAGGGTTTATGTCAAAAACCTTCAAAATTGATAAACTACATTTAGACTTCACCACTGTCTTAGTAACTTCCTTTTTCTGGCCCAGGATTCAGTCCACAGTCACCTGTTTTATTTAGTTTTAGTGTCTCCTCAGTCTCCTTTAATCAAGCAATTCCTTGGAATCTTTTTGCCTTTCGTGACCTTGCTATTTTTTGAAAAGTTATTTCATAGGATGGCCCTCAATTTCTTTTTGTTTGATGTTTCTCATAATTAGGCATCATTTGTAAGAACTCCATAGAAGTGATGATGTAGCCTTCTCCGTGTGTTACACCAAGAGGCAGAGGCATTGATGTCAACTTGTCTCACTATTGAGGATTGTAACATTATTTGGTTAAATGTCTGCCAAGTTTCCTATTCTATAGTTACTGTTTTCTCCCTTGTAAATAATTTTCTTCTGGAAAGATACTTTGAAACGACATAAATACTTACCTCATCATATTATGTCCACACATAAGATCTTCTGATGATTCTTGCCTGAAATACTTATTATTCTGGTATATGTTAAACAGTAATTTTTCTATTTCCAGCATCCTTTTTACATTTATTAGTTGGAAGTCTGAAAGCTTTCTTTTCATGTCCCCCATCTCTTTATTCAATTACGTATACCTGTATAGACTAATGTATATATATATATACTCTAAGAGTTATAATTCATTATTATTATTTGGTTGCAGAAATTATCCCATATTTAGCCATTGGGAGGTCCTTCATGTTGACTCGCGCTCTCCCCCTTTTTTAAAAAATATGTTTTATTGATTATGCCATTACAGTTTTCCTGTTCCCCCCTTCATTCCCCTCCACCCTGCACACTCCTCCCCCACCATTCCCCCCTTTCATTTATCTCCATGTGTCACAAGTTCTTCAGATTCTATATTTCCTATACTATTCTTGCCCTCCCCCCTATCTATTTTCTACCTACCGTCTATGCTACTTATTCTCTGTACTTTCTCCCCCCTTCTCCTCCTCCCACTCCCCTGATCTCCTACCCCTCCATGTGATCTCCATTTCTATGGTTCACTCCTGATCTAGCTGCCCTCTTAGTTTGCTTTTGTTTTAGGTGTGGTTGTTAATAACTGTGAGTTTGCTGTCCTTTCACTGTTCATCTTTTTTATCTTCTTTTTCTTAGATAAGTCCCTTTAACATTTCATACAATAAGAGCTTGGTGATGATGAACTCCTTGAACTTGACCTTATCTGAGAAGCACTTTATCTGTCCTTCCATTCTAAATGAAAACTTTGCTGGATAGAGCAATCTTGGATGTAGGTCTTTGGATTTCATGACTTGGAATACTTCTTTCCAGCCCCTTCCTGCCTGTAAGGTCTCTTTTGAGAAATCAGCTGACAGTCTGATGGGAACTCCTCTGTAGGCGACTGTCCCCTTATCTCTTGCTGCTTCTAGGATTCTCTCCTTCATTTTAATCTTGGCTAATGTAATTATGATGTGCCTTGGTGTGTTTCTTCTTGGGTCCAACTTCTTTGGGACTCTCTGAGCTTCCTGGCTTTCCTGGAAGTCTATTTCCTTTGCCAGATTGGGGAGATTCTCCTTTATTATTTGTTCAAATAAGGTTTCCACTTGTGACTGTTCCTCTTCCCATTCTGATACTCCTATAATTCGGATGTTGGAGCGTTGAAAGATGTCCTGGAGGTTCCTAAGCCTCTCCTCATTTTTTTGAATTCTTGTTTCTTCATATT